TTGCAATGAACGATGATTAGAAAACTTCATATCCGAAGATACAACTATACCGAAGATATGACAATATAGCTTGAATTGAATTAATAAATTCAATAGGTGTACCAATATTCATTGAGTATGGATTTAATGGTAAAGAACTGTTTCTATAGTGCTGATGAAAACATTTTTTGGTTGCTATATTAAGTTGCCAAACCTTTAACCATTCTGAAAAATTTTTTAAGGTATTGATGCTTTGTATGTTGTTTCCATCATTACTTGCTCGATATAACTTGCTATCATCAGCAAGCAACCTAATGCTGCAACCACCTTCAATACATGAAGTTACATCATTTATAAAAACTAAAAATAAAATGGGTTCCAAAACAGTCCTAAAGGTATTCTGCTCTTTACAAGAATTTTGCTTGAATACAAGTTACCAACACAGACACATTGAGAACGATTTGTTAAAAAACTGGTAAACCAGTTTAACAATTCATACTGGATACCATAACAATGCAGTTTGAACAATAACTTAAAGTGAGTCACAGAGTCAAAGGCTTTCTCAAAGTCTATATATACAATATCAACTATCTTTTTGTTATTAGCAGCAGTGGTCCACTCATTAAAGGTTGTCAACATTTGTGTACAGATGGACCTATGCTTTAAAAAGCCAAATTGACAAGCAGTAATAAGGTTATTGATTAGTTAATAATTTGTGATGCATTCTGCAATAATTGACTCCATAAACTTACAAATAATGCATCTTATAGAAATTGGTGTATAGTTTGTGGTTAACGATGGGTTTCCTTTCTTATAGATGGGGCTTACTATAGCAGTTTTCCAGATTAAAGGTAAGGCATTTTTTGACATTACTAATTCTAACAGTACGGAAAAAGGAAAAGCAATGACATTTGTAATTGATTTTAGAAGTATTGCTGGGTATCCATCAGATGGTTTGGAAGACTTTGATAGAAGATTTTGTAGGGATGAAACTACAGAACTTATGAAAACATTTAAAGAGTTCAGGTGTGTTGGCAAATCTAAAAAAGGTGCAATACTATTATCTGTAACAAAAACAGAACTGTTTAAAAGATATGATTTTTCACAATCATCTGTGCTTAGAAAATCATCTGGTCGTAATAGTGGCGAAGCAGAACTACAGTATTTAGCTTTTGCTTTTACAAAAGAATAAAACTGGGCAATATTAGCTTTATTGACTAAATCTTTCTCTCTGAAAATATATTTATTTATTTCTGCATTGTATAAACGAGAACAAACCTTATATTTGATATGAATGGATGTATTGAAAAATACATCCATTCATATCAAATAAATCATATAAGAAAATGCGTTTTTAAGAGGCCAATTTCCGAATAGCTAGAGGTTGGAAGGTTGGTTATTTTTGCTATTACAATGTACTGGAACATGTGCGGAAATAGATAAGTTTAAATATTTACAAATAGTTTTCCAGAATGCTTAACATCTTGATTTTGCTTGGCAAACATATACCAGTTTATATTTTGTAAATCTGATTGTATAGTGTCATAATTACCTTTGTAATAATTGTATTTAGTTGATTTTTTAGTTGATTCAGACTTCTCCAAATTATAATTAAAAACAATCATACAGTGGTTACAAGTGATTGTAAATATGGGAATAGCTTCTACATTAAAAACATTTTTTGAGTTATTGGTTAGTATTAGATATAGGAGGTTATTATGTCAAGTATTATCAGATACAAGCTGGTCTAAAGCATTTGCCAAACACGCTTCTCAAATAGATCATGGGACAAATCTAATTAGAATCAACCAGTTTATGAGTGGTAGATTAAACATTGATACATGTAGAGTTGCACTTAAAAGTAATTTTATTAAATTAATTTCCACAAAGCTTTAGTTCTTAAAATACTGGTGGCAGCACATGGAGGGTGATAAACACATGAAAATATATTTGTTAATTTGTCAAAACCTGTTTAAAGATTTTTTGCCAACCTTATTTTTCATAATTATAAGGACTCAAACATCATGACAAAATGATACATTGTCAACATCGAACTAAAAATCTTTCCCTATGAAAATCCTATTTTAATACTCATTTTCAGCATCATTTTCCTTTTATATTGCAATTTTTTAATGTAACTTGAGAATCTAATACAGTTAAAAGAATTGTAAATTGAACATGTTAAACCATACAAGCCATTAAACTTATTATTAAAAATAATTGTAGTTTTTAAATCTTATTTGCCCTACCCGAATTTTTGTGTTTTTTAAACTAAAACCAATAAAAACCTAAACAATTAAAACAGATTTTAAATTAAATTTGATATGATAGAATACTCTACAAACAAGAGATGCAGATTGACTACATCCGTAAAAATATCAGACTTAACTTTTCAAAACAAGCATGTTTGATTTTTTTCATAAATTAACTGAACAAATTTAATTGGTTTAAAAAAATTCAATATTTTTTTGGTTTCTGTTTGATCAAAAGAATTATAGCATAAATATGTATTATAATGAGTTAAAATATAAAAAATAAATATAATGCAATTTAATAATAAAAATATTCTATTTAATAATAAAAATACTCATATTAAATGAAAAGTAAAATAAATGCTAAATTTTTTATATATGTAAAAAAAAAATTTAAAAAAATAAAAAAATCTAAAAACCTCCTCAGAGCTCACAATAAACTTTGAAGCTTGTTCATCGACAAGTTTTTGAAGGAGAGTTAAACCATGGCTAGATTGCCCAGTTAAAGATGACCATGACTTTTGAGAATCTAGAAGAGAGTGAGATTTTTGTCTTTGAACAGCTAATAAAGATTTATCCGTTACTTTTAAAGCATCCGATGATAAAACTTTCTTCAACATCTAGAAATTAAAAAAAGAACTAAGAGCTTAAATACTAAATAAGAGGCTCCTATCCTGCTTGGTTTTCAGCCTTTAACAATCAAGCAACCATTAGTAATAATGAATTACTAATGGTTGATTAAAACTTGATATAAAACGAATGATTGTTGATCACCATATTCATGCATGTTTTATTTGAATAAAAAAAAATTAACTGTAGTAAAAAAAAAGGATTACAAATACCTGCATTTTAGAGTACGCTTCCAAAAGCCCAAATACAAGCTCACGATTAACTGCAGTCCATGCCCCTTTTAGTTTGTAAAACATTATTTTATGAATAAAAGAATCTTCTACTATACTAGACTGGCGTTTATAATCAACTCTAAAATTTCACAAACAAAATACAAAATTATTTCACAAATAAAATTTCAAATACAAAATAGAGTGTATTTTGCTGAGTAAAAATTTTATAAAAATATAATATTATAAAATTTAAATAACCCAAATAAATAATAAAGAACAGCAACAATAATATACTAATTTGAAAAAGTTATTATAAATAATTTATTTAATATAAAATAAATTTGTAAAACCTTTTCACACTAAAGAAATAATGTTTTTTGAGGCGACCTTCTTCATCAATACATAACAATTCATCTTCAGCATCATCTGCCCTTAACTTGCTCTCAACAGATTGCAATAAAAAAAAACGAACTTTTTCAAAACTACTGTTCAAACCACGAATAATCCAATTAGCTACAGAGCGTCGAATAAGTTCTTGTGTGTCTGGATGGGGACTAATAAATACCTTTAATAAAAATTATTTTATAACAGTTTCATTGTTAAAAAATAAAATAAAATAACAGAAAAATACATAAATATTACTAATAATAATTTTAATAGTAATAATAATTTTTTTAACAAAAAGTGACATTAAAACAAATCAGTTATTGACAAACCAGAATTGGTGCTGACTTTTTAACCTTATAATAATACTAATTTTTTAATTTCACTATAAAATATTTTTAGTTAATAAGTTTTAGTGAATTTTTAACTGTTTTTAAAAGTTTAATTATGGTATAAAATGTATAAAAAATAGAGCAATGTATATAATTTTTTCCGTTAAATTTATTTATAACATTGTTAAATTAAAATAACTAATATAATTACATAAATACAAATAATTGATATAAAATAAAAATTAATAATTATTTAAGTTATAAAATAAGTTAATAATTTATTTATTGAATTTTAATTTTCATCTAATGAAGGCCTTAGTTTTGTATACTAAAAAGCATTTAAAATTTAATAACATTATCACATTCTTCTTCATCTACATTTCTCTATTCAATTCGACATTTAAAGTTTCATCAGATGATCTTAGCTTAGTATACTATCAATACAACACAAAATATTTTAACTCACTGAGAAACACTATATACTTTTAAAACTTGTTGGTAGAGCTAAACTTCATAAAGATATTGGCAAAAATCTTTAAAGTAGTTCAGCTCTGCCAACAAGTTTTAATTTGAATGCGATTGACAGATTGAATGAAATTGACTTTTTTTTATTATAAAACTTTTTAGTTCAATAACTTTGTTCAGCTTTTGTTTATGCTGTTGTTGGTAGAGGCTTGCTTAATATGCAAGCAGTTCCCAGTTTAATTCACACCATGCCCTGATAGAACTGTTTTCCTAATAAAACAGCTTCTTTCTCAGCATAGGAACCTTGATCATCAAGGTTTTTGTTTTAGAGTTAAAGAGTCGAGAGAGGGTTTTAACAACAATAAAAAAGTAGCCTCTTCAACTGTAGTGGCCCCTTGACCTTAGGGAAATGATTAACATTATTAAAAAAAAAAAATTGATTCAAATGGATGAGCCCTTTATCTGTTAAATTTAAAAACAGACAAATAAAATTAAACTATAACAGAATAACTCCATGAACAGTATATTAAAAATTATGGAAATGTTAAAAAATCATAAATGGTAGTCATATACAAAGAGTTCAGTACAATTTACTAAATCAATTGAGCATTACACACCAGTCTTTCACAGGAAGACGTGTGATCACACGTCTTTATATGACCAGGTAAGATATGCTTTGCTTTGATGATTTTACCGTGGCTATTTCAAAGAACATTTTAAAAACGTCCTGAATGAAAAATATTCTGAACTATACCTTAAGTGAAAAAAATTACATCAAAACTTTTAACAAATGTTTTTATATAAGCGAAAGGCTTTTAAATAAAGTAACAATTTACTGATAATGATTTTTTTTAAAAGTATAATTGACAGTTGTATACAATTTTATAATTTATGATATATAAATTGTTTAAGAGTGCATTTTTTATAATAAACATTATTAAAAAATAAAAAAGTTTTGTTTTTATAATTGATGACATTCTACGACAACGATCAAAGCAACAAATGTGCCAATAGTGCAAACTTTTCTGGCTAAATATTGATCTTTGTATTTTTAGGAGATGATAACTTGTCTTTAGTCAAGATGATAACTTGTCTTTAGTCAAGATGATAACTTGTCTTTAGTCAAGATGATAACTTGTCTTTAGTCAAGATGATAACTTGTTTTGTTTTTAGTCAAGTCTGTAGCATTAAAATTTAAAATTCAAAAGTTTTTTTAAAATTAAGAAAAAAAAAATATATATTTGTAACATTAAGTGAAATTAGAGATAATACAGCATTTAACTACTAAAATTTAGGGATTCAGGACCAAGACTTTAGTTTTTAAAAAAATGATCACTTTTGATTGAATGCACTTAAACATATATAAACACAGTGAATAAAAAAAAAGTACAACCTACTTGATAACCAATAGTTACAACCCCTTTCAAAATTTTTGTTTCTAGCCCACGCTCTTGTTCAAATGATCCCCAATATCTTACATCCAAGCATGGAAATTTCAAATCAACAGTAACAAGTCTAAAATAAATTGAAAGTTAAATTAAAATAAATAAAATTTTTCTTTTTAAACTTGTTTAGACAAAAAAGCAAACATTAATTATAATAGTTACTTCTATTTTTTAATTAAAATAAAAAAACAAAAGTAACACAAACTAAAAAAAGCAAACAGAAATTACTTTAAATGTCGACCAAAAGCAGGTTTTTTTAATTTTGTATTTTTGAACAAAGAACCCCGTTTGATTGGACGAGAAACACGGCTAATTACAACAGCCTGAAAATTTTGAAACCACCTTAATGTACTTGCATATAAAAGTACTGATGGTGGGTCAGCTTTAACACTTTCCTAAATAAAATTAAACAAAAAAAAAAAAAAAATGATTTAAATATATATAGATACCTTAAAAAAATTATTGAACAACTTCCAGAAATTATCTAGGTTATATTTAAAAAATCAGAAAAACATTTTGCAAAAAAAAAAAAAATTTGCCTTAACTTTTACCTAATGGCTTTCTTAACTTTTTTTTATTTTTATTTTTTGTATGGGTAATAACTTAAAAAGTTCAAAAACATATATATATATATATATATATATATATATATATATATATATATATATATATATTGAAAAAAATATTCATTTTAATTTGTTTTTATGGAGGGCTTTTTGGAAATCCGAAAAAAATAAAAGTTGAAAGAAATATTGGGAGTTCCAGACATATTTGAAAAAAGATAATCCCTAAATTTCAAACAAATTTTTTGTAGAAAACAAACTTATTAAAACAAATTATAAACAAAAAAATTAATTCGTTAAAAAAAATTCGTGAAATAAACCTCTAAAAGATCTGATGATATATCCATAGTTACATTCATATTAAGATTTGTTGAACGAAACAATTGATAAGAATCATGCTTCTAAATAATTTAATATAGTCCATAAATATCTAATCATATTTATATTTTTTATTTACAGATATTTTATCAAATGAATATAAAACTTCAACAAAACTTCATATATATATATATATATATATATATATATATATATATATATATATATATATATATATATATATATATATATATATATATATATATATATATATATATATATATATATATATATATATATATATATTAGTTACATTTAAAAACTTTCAAATTCAACAATTAAATGCTTTTGCCAAAATTATATCAAATTATAAAATATTTAAAATTTTTTCTATAAAATACTTTGAAACAAGTGCACCACCCACTTAAAAAACACAATTTTTATACAAACTTTAACACAATAAAGATGTTATTAAGTGGTTTACTGGTGTTACTAGCTGGTGACACTAGTACTTAATGTAATTTAAAAGTTGAATACACAAAAAAAGTTTTTACCTCACTTTGAACAAATATTGGATTTGTTGGTATAGCAACATAATGATCATTTGCATCACCTTCACATAGCCATTCTAACTGAATACTAAACAATAAATTAAAATAGAAATTCCAATTAACAAATATTTTCTACTTAAAAAAATTTAATTAAAAAAAAAAAAAAAAAGAAAAATAAATAAAAAGGTTTTTTTTAAAACTATAAATTTTGATTTTTATTAAATACTCTTACCAAAAAAAAAAAAAAAAATTACTTTAATTTAAAGCCAGGAAAATGTAAAACTTTACTATCGTCATATTTAGAAGCATTTCTTGTTGACATATCAAAGTCACCATCTATATTTATGTTACCTATAACATACCAAAGAAACAATAGAAATATCAAAGCCACGATTTATATTTATGCTACTTATGACAAACAAATTCAGGTTTTATCGTAATCACTTTCAAAATAACTATCATTAATTAGAGTAAATAATAATGATTATAAAATAATAATGATTATTAGTGATAAATAATAATAGATTTGTCTATTAATACAACTGAAATGAAAAGAAAATTTAGAAAATTCAGAAAATTAAATACATTTTATAATTTCACATAAGATCACAGTTGCACAACATTGTTTGCAAAACAAGCAAATATAATCACAAGATATTGTTTGCAAAAATAAGACACAAGAGGGTAGCCACACATTATTTATGGATACAAAAACTAGACACAAGAGTGTAGTCATAAGACATTTGTGGATACAAATACAAGACACAAGAATGTAGCCAGAAGACATTATTTGCGGATACAAGACATTGTTTTTAGTTAAAAGACATGATATTTTAGTCACAACATTATTTGCAAAACATATTATCAAAAATGGAGCTATTTTATCAAATATTAATATAATTAAATTAGTAAATAAAAATAATAAAGAAGACATTAAAAAGCTTTTTAGATATATGACTGTAGACACAGGAGACATTAAAAAGTTTATTAGTCGTGTTGATAGTCTATAAAAAAAAAAAAAAAAAAATTCCGATGCTTTCAGCTCATATGCTAAACTTCCAATTTTTCTTTTTTATACATGAAAATATCAACTGAAATAAAAAGCTTTTTAAATTAAAAATTTTTTATTAAATAATTTATTTGACATTTAAAACTTAAACTTTGTATTTTTTTTGCAGGCACCCAGTTTTTAATAAGATATAAAATTTTTATATTTATGTTATACATGGAGTAAAACTTATTTTATTTTTAATGCTGTTTTAAAACTCTAACACCATTTGTAGTTGTTTTAAGTTTGACCACCACGTCCCTGGTTTTACCATGCTCAAGTTGTTTCTCTGTGCAGCAGAATTGTTTGTATATTGGAGTTAAGAGAGATTGTAACCACAATAAAGAAGTCTCCTCCACTATAGTGACCTTATCAACCTTGGAGAGGTAAGTTACATAATAAAAAAAAAATTTGCACATAAACACCTTGAAACAAACAAAAAATTGTAATATCTGTAGCAATTATATTTTCGATATATAGTTTGTCATAAACATGTTTATAACAACAATATAACAATGAAAAATAAATAATTAATGTGCCTCTCTAGTATTTCTTACATTTTTATTGTTATCATTTTTATTTTTATAGTATTTCTTATAAATTTATTGACAGCATAAGTAATGTATTTTGTCAACATATATGCTGTGTTTAGTACTTTAAGTTTATGAAATAATAAATATGAAATAAATTAGTAAAATTAAAAATTATGAAGGTAAAATTAGGATGTTGTGAAGGTAAAAAACCTGTAAATAAAAAAATTAAGATTAGATGCATCTTTAAAAGATAAAAAATAGTATAAGAGACAAAGAGAACCATTTTACCATTAGTCCATTCAAATGTTGCTGCACTCCACTCAATTTCCAATTTTTCAGTTGTGTTATATGGATCATCAGAAGCACTCAATAAAATGTTTAGATCGGCAACATCAGCTTTTAATTTTCCATGAAAAAGTATACGTATCTAAAAACATTTTTTGATTATAAAAAAATTTTTATGATAAAAAAAAAATCTAACATATACAGCAATAAAAATATATAAAAAATATACAGTAAAAAATATAAAGTAATCAAAATATACAAAATGATAATACAAAATGATAATGATAATACAAAAGCTTGATTTTAGTTTCATTATTGATTCAAAATAATTTAATATACTGTTTTAAAACTAATTAAAAAATTGATACCAAAATAAGTAAATAAATAACAAAAACAAATAATTAGATAAAAGCAAATAATTATATTGGGAGAATAATAATTTTTAAAAATAGTAATGCAAAATAACTTTTTTTTTTGGCCTTTAAACTAATTTTATTTTCTCCCATTAATACATTTTTAACATAAAATTATTCTTTTTTGCAAAATATTTATTTAAAACAAAATACCCACTCAAGAAAATCTTTATTAATAGTATCATAAGCAAATCTTTGTTAATAGGATTAAATTTTTAAAAAAATGAGTGTCAATTTAGAAATTATATAAATGTATTTCTAAAATACGTTTATATAAACTAACTATAAAAATGCATGAATAAATAGGAGCTTAGAAAGGTTTTTGCAAAAAATAAGAAAAATTGAATGAAATGATATAAACATAACATCATTCATATAATGACAAACCTTGTCCCAAACTGGTAATGGTGGACTTATATCCAGACTTGTTTTTGTAAGATTATCTAGAAAGAAGATTTTTAAAAAACCAATACCGACACTATTTTATGCAGAGATTCTGATTTAAACTAACAATTTACCAAATGAAGCAGAAACCATTGAAAATGCTGGCTCAAAGTTTCCACCATAGCCAAGTTGGCATGTCGACATATCTTAAAAAGATTTAAAAGTTATGCAATTAACAAGCTAATACACACAAATTATTAATCTTATAATCAAAGAAATTTTGTTATAAAAATTTATTTTATAAAGTAGACAAGATAAAAATGAAATAAAAAAAAGTAAAAAATAAAAAATAATAAATTAGAGAAATACACATGTTATTAAAGTTGTACTCCTAAACAGAAGAATTATATATATATATATTAGGGTGTTCCATGTTTATCACTGATAAAATTGTTTGTGGATAATTTTGATGCAGTCCCTCTTAAAAGTTTCTTAATGGTCCCACAACAACAACTGAATTTTTTTATGACAATTGAAAAATAATTAGGGGTCCCCCAAGGGTCTAGAATTTTTGTATAAATGGGGAAAAATTTGACCAAAGTAACTTTTTTTCTAAAATCCACCCCCGCCTTTTATTCAATTAAAACTAATTTGGCACTGTTCAAATAGCTAAACACGTAAAACAAAATACTAGTAAAGATTATATTCTACAAGTGACAAGTGTTTTGCAGAAATTTAACAAAAATTATTAAAAACAGATTTTTTAGATATCTTATATATTTACTTTTTAAAAGTTTTTTACTTTTATTGTAGAATAAAGACTGTGGAGCAATGGCAAAGTGTAAACCTAATACAACTCGAAGTACCGACATGATCTGGTTGATCGGCCATCCATGTGACATAATAACTGGAGCTTGCCTTCCTTCAGGTCGTGATGTTATGCAGAATTTTGTTTACTTTCAGAGGAAGCAGAAACTGACAGTTGCTCAGAGTGCGCAGCAAGTACACGACCAACTACTGCCCTTCTGAATGAAATTGAGATTACCGGTCAGACACAAACCAGATTAAAGATCATTACTCACAGCATGTTGGACTAATGAAACATCGTTCAAGGAATAATGCTAAGGATCAACAGAACCAAAAAGAATACAATGAAAAGCTTGATATTTTGTTTGATATCAGTCATGCTGATTCTGACAATCTTATCAAGAATGAGGAAGACAGACAGTTTCTAAAGTTGCAGAAAGAATCAAGAACCAGATGCATTGGATCTGTGGACAATAAAATGTTTTTCCGCGATAAGCGTTCAGCAAAACGTAAAGAACGATTAGTACTCCAGCAAAGAGCAGCTTCAACAGGACAGCAATTAATGCAGGCAGATGTGAAAACTGAAAATGAAGATGAGGAAACAGCAGAATCATCGAAGTTGTGCTCCTCAGATGATAAAGAATCTATGGATGAATTTGTTGTAAAGTCTCCAACTAATGATAGACCGCCCAAGCAACCTAAGTGTGCTGGTGTGATGACTTCAAAAGTGGCTGCTGTATTAGACCGCACAAACATCAGGCATTCGTAAATCAACAATGATAATTGCATCAATGGTTAATGAAATTGGATGCTCCACGACATCTGTTGTTCTTTCAAAAAATGCAGTCCATCGTCAACGACAGCTTTTTCGTTGTGAAGCTGCACAGAAGATCAAGGATGACTTTCTACCTAGTAAGTCCGTCGTTCATTGGGATAGCAAACTACCACCTGACATCACTGGAGTAGACACCAACCAAGTTGATAGATTGGCAACTCTTGTTTCTTTACTTGTTGATGGAAATATTAAACTGTTGGGAGTAACAAAGTTGACTTCTGGAACAGGACAAGTAGGATCGGAGGCAGTTCTTGACCAACTCAAACCATGGCAGTGCGATCAACTAGTCATTGGAATGTGCTTTGATACAAAAGCCTCAAATACCGGCAGACTGAGCGGAGTCTGCACTCTTCTGGAGAAGGCTCTCGGTCACAATCTGCTATGGATGGCATGTCACCACCACATGTTTGAGGTGTTGTTGTCTGATGCATATGGAGTGTGTCTAGGCCCGTCAACTGGACCGGATATTTTGATTTTTAAAAGATTCCAAGAGAAAAGGTCAGAGTTGGTCCACCGTCAGCCTATGCCACGACCAGTGCCATTGGTGAGTGCAAGTGACAATCTGAAGGAGTTAATTGCTGAGCAGCTTTAACTCAGCCATCCACGAGATGACTATCAAGAATTTCTACAACTTGCGGCTTATATGATTAGTTTAAAATGCGCTGGGGCAGCACCATTTTGCAAGCCTGGTGCCGTTCACAGAGCACGTTGGATGGCCAATGCAATAAAGATAGAATTGCTTTTTGATGGTAATGAAGCTTTATACAGTTGACTGCTCGTGAATTACAGGGCATTCAGAGACTTAATAGATTTGTTGTCAATGTCTACATTCAATCTTGGTTTTCAAGTCGAGCCATTGCTGATGCACCATTGAATGACATTCTATTGATTCAAAGGCTGCTTACGTATGAAAATGCTGCTTTGCAAACAAAAGGTTTGAAGATGATGAAGCGTCACTCCTGGTCCCTCAGCCAAGAGCTAGCAACAGTTTCCTTGTTCTCTCAGCATATGTCTTCTAAAGAAAAAACCCAGCTTGTGTCGACAAAGAAAAGTGATCGAAGTAAATATTGATGGTAAAATGAAGCCCCTTGGCATTCCAGCAATTGATCGTGGTACTGGACAAGCTCAATATGATGCTTTAGTTAAAATACTGAATGAGTATGTAATATGTGATGACGTGAAAGGTTTATGTTTAGATACAACTGCTACAAATACAGGAAGACTTTCTGGTACAAACGTCAGGTTTAGTCATAAACAAAACTCAATTCTACTAGAGCTGGCTTGCAGGAGGCATGTTTGTGAGTTACATCTAAAAGACTTCTGCGAAAGACAGTGCAGTGGAAAAACTAAATCTCCAGAAAACCTAATGTTTAAACGGTTCCAATTAAACTGGAATGACATTAAAAGTAGCATTGACTCTTCAAAGTTTGTAAAATATGATACCCAATCTATTGCTACCACTTTCTTAGAAATCCATAGACTCGATGCTGTAAAATATTGCCCTAAAAAAAAAACACTTTTCCCAGAGGAGACTACAAGGAGTTATTGAAACTGACTCTAATGTACTTATGCCCTGAAAGAGATTTTCAAGTTCAAGCTCCAGGGTGCGTGTCTCATGCACGTTTTATGTCTAAAGCTATTTATTATCTCAAGATTCAGATATTGAGTTTGCAACTTTCTTATGAGTTGACAGATAATCAAAAGAACGAAGTGCAGTCTACGGCTGAATTTATCTCAATCTTTTATACCGTCTGGTTTTTAAAAACCTCTTTACCTTACGCTGCGCCTTACCAAGATATAAAAGCCTATTGGCAAATGACAAAATATAGAGGTTACGTAGAACAATATGTTCAGAATTCTGAAACAATTTTAAATGGAATTGATGCCACAATGGTTTCAATGGAATCACATTTATGGTACCTTGATGAAACTTTAATTCTGCTGGCTCTTCTAGACCAAGGTATTTCTGTTGCAGAGAGAGAAGATGTTGCAAAAATGCTCTTTTTGAAACCAGTTCCTGAATTTTTTCGGCATTTCGAGAAATTAAATTTGTTAAAAACTCTTAACTTTAACCTAGAAAAACCACCAAGTATTGCCCAACTAGTGGGAGAAAACTCTTGGTTCATATTTAGTTTGTTAAACCTTAGTAAGCTAAATGATAAACTTTGGTTAAACAGCCCGGCACCACTATGGTAGTATATTGAACAGTTTAAGATTTTTTCCCAGTTTGTTTCCAACCTTGCAGTGGTTAACGACGTTTCTGAAAGATCTATTAAAGTTGTATCAGACTTTGTAAATAACGTTCACAATGAAGACGATCGACAGGAGTTACTGCTAGCTATTCACCAAAGGAGAGAAAACCTTAACAAGACAAAGACTAAAGAAGATTTGCAATTAGCATATCAAGCAATTGCAAAATAGATAATATAGTTTTTAAATGATGGCTTTTATTTAATGATGTAATATTGATTTGTAAATATGTATTTTTTATTTAATTATACTTAAACATATCATTCTTTTTTTTTTTTTTTTTTTTTTACAAAACCAAAAAAAACTTTGCAACAATACCAAGAAAATCATTTAAAGTTGAAAAGCTACCATATACTTTCTAATCTTGAGGCAATAAAACTAATAACAACAATACCACTTTTAACCATGTTGCAGTAAGTTTATTAGGTCTTTTTAGTTATAAAAATAACTAAAATAAACAATTGTTATTAGGCTATTAAGGTTAGCGTAAGGGTTAGGTTACCTCAAAGGATAAAAGAAATTTTTTTTAGACCTATATATACCTCATTTGACACTATTATTAAAAAAATCTAGGTTATTGATTTTTCCGCGTCTGGAAACAGTTTATTAGAAAATCAAAAATCTTTTTTATACGCGATTGAGTGATAAAATAGATTTTTAGGAAGGAAAATTTGGATTTTTCACCAATTTCAGAAGATTTTGTATACTAATTTCTTAATTTTTTCAACATGCTCCATTTATGTGATTAATATTCAATCCTACTTAAAAGAATAAAAAAAAATTTTCGATAAATTTCAAGGTCCCTGCCAGGCGTTTAAAACACCCATCATTTTTTGCCCAAAATCGAACTGGCGGGGACCCTAAAATTTAAATTTTTTTTATTTTTATTTTGCTTAAACTTATTTTCATAAAAATGGTCAATTTATAAATCGATTCGCAAGTTCGATTTCAAAAATTGATAAAATATGAAACACCCTAATATATATATATATATATATATATATATATATATATATATATATATATATATATATATATATATATATATTTATATTTATATATATATATATATATATATATATATATATATGTCAGTTTATATATAAATAAACAGGACATCAAAATTATATTCATAATAAAATTAAACATCAATCAAAGTTAAAGGCAATGATAAATGAATATTTAAAATTATATTCCTATATAAAAAAATATTATACAACAATATATTATCCATTCTTTTCACTCTAATAAAATATACATAAATCTCAAAGGTAATTCTAAGATTTAGATTAGATATCTCAAAGACTCTGAGAT